TATCCCAGCCGCCGATTGTAGCTAAGAATTGGGCATTCGGGCGGCGGAGACTGAGAGTGAATGTCGGAAGTGTGAATCGGAAGTACATCATTCATCCTTGATGCAGTGAGAATAAGTGTTTTGTTCACTCGAGTGTGAACAAAAAGTTTCTGGTTTTTCGAGTGAAGGGAAGCGCTGCAAACGCGACCAAAAATATTTAACGGGACCAAAAGTTACGCACGGCATAGCGGCAAGGGATTTCTTAGAGATAGGCTTGCGACTTCCAGGCTATTTCAGGCCACTCAGGGTCAGTGTGGACTCTCAGAAGCCTGCTTAGGATCCCGGAGATCGGCATGGGTCACCCCAAATATTTACGTGTATATGGTGCTTTAGGGCTTTCCGAGCCTAAGGTGGGCCCGGAAAGCCCTTTAGGGCACACGAGCCCTCAGAAGCCAGTGTGGGCGGCGGGCGCTAAGAGACAGGAGACTAGGCCCAGGGTGAGCCTGGAGCCCTCGAATAACAGCGTAGGGACATATGAAACATGTGTTGCGGCCCGCAAAGGGACACGTGAGTTGTGACCCCTCAGATGCCGGGTTCGGGTTAGTAATGTCTGCCGCCTCAAAAGTTCGGCTGAACTATCAGAGGCCAGTTGAGGTTTTCAGAAATTTTCGAAGGCATCCTCAAAGATTCGTGTGGCCCTTCAGAGGTCTACGTATATGTATAAGGCCCTCAAAGATCCCTGTAATGGGCCCTCAGAGAACGTGGACACCAGTGGGACTCTCAGAGGCCTGTTTGGGCCCTCCGAAAGCTTCTTAGAGCTCAGTGGAGCTCCTTAGGAGCCTGTGTGAAAAGCAAGCTCATGAGCCCTGCGGCACTTGAACGGTACTTGTGCCTGTCGCAGACATTTGACGAGAGTTAAGAAAGATCCCGAAGATTTCGTGTCACGTTTTGAACGAAAATTATGTGTCAGCACTCCAAAACTTATGAAAATCAGCAACAAAATGTAATAAAGAACCAACTAGGAACATGGAATGAATCATAGCATTGACATTTCCGAGTCTGGAGTCGGAGTCTTGAAGATTTTGGCGAATGCGACTCTGACTTTGGTTTGAACTGCACGCTCCAACAGAGTCTGACTTCACGCGCTTTCTCAGAAAGGTACCCCCATTTTTTCCCGACTCCAAAATCTCATCGGATCTGTATCGATCTCAGGGGGTGCCCGGTCCGAGGTTGGGGGGGGGGGGGGGCAAGCTGCCCCGCTTGCCCCCCCCCCCCGTGGCAACGCTAATGCTACTGAGCTCTGGGAGCTATTCTGAAGACAACTGAGCAGTTAGTCCGTTGGTGTTCACTGTTCAGATACGGACGGTCAGTGGTCACTAACGCACCTGAATCCCATGACTGCGCTTAATTTGGTCGTACAAAATGTATAGACGTCGTATTTTTACGAGTATGCATCGTGAGCATCGTGTCCGGAGAACATAGCGCTCTACGGCCAAGCCAAATAATCCTACGGCATGTTTTCAGGGCAGTTCTTGACTGAACACTTTCAGTTCGCAGTCTCGGCTGGCTCTCGGCCAGCCCTTAACGACAGAATGTCGTCCACAATAAGATGAATCGCTCAATCTCCCGCAGCCATTGTGTCTGTGTACTGGGCCCGTGAACGGAACTTACGGCAGATGAAGCCGCAATTCAGAAGAGATTTAGGAACTTGTCTACGAGATGGTGCTGCTTTATGATCATCACAGGTTGATAGCATCTTTTTCAGGAAAAATGATGTGGTCTCCCTATTTCAATCACATATCGATACAATATTGTAGACACCGGTTGAAAATTTAAAAACGTTCGAAACGAGACATTCGTTCGAGACATTTGAGACTTTCGACACAGATGAACCGAAGTCGTGTCCGTCCAGCAGCTCAAACCCTATCGGCTGTTACCCACGTCTTGCCGTGGCTCCTCGGCTGGTGACCGTCCGTAATTCAACTGGAGAAGGTGCCGAGTCCCGTCTGGGCGTCGGCCGCCGTCGACGCCACCCGTCGGTCGATGGCTCTCCGTCGATGGCGACATTCCTGAGTGCCGCCGTCTTCCTTTTCATTGCGATCGTTCCGTCTGTGCTGAAGGTAGGCCTCCGGTCGACACAGGCTATGGTTCATGAAGGACGTTATCGGAACGCTCCCACCGCGCGTGGAAGGGACAGCTTCCGGCTAAAGGCTGGTTCCGGTTCGCGTATCTGTTCTGGTGACGATAATCACAAACCGGAAACAAGGGACGCTGTAACGGCTTCGCAGTTTGTTGGCAAATGATTGAGCGCATGAACTGAGGCGCAAGATTAAAGCTGTTGAATGCTGACGGCTTGACAGGGTTACGAGACGGAACTTATGAATGCTGTTTGCTGAGTGACGGTTATGGGACGAGTGACGGGTGATGAAAGCTGTGTGATAAGTAACAAGTGACGAGCGACGAATGCTTGACGGGTGACGAGAGCAGCGGCGTGACAAGTGACGATTTCGACACGCGGCAGTATCAGCAAACGATGTTCAATGGCAATTGAGCATGTGACCATGTCTACTCGTATGTCGTGGCCACATCACATTTATTACGGCTCATTACGGACGGTGAGGGAACTACCCAAAGTCTGTTGATGACTTGTATATTTGTCCATGCCTTAGTTCTGGTTCGACTCACGCGAGCATGATCGGACATATTTCTCCCACCATCACATCAACGTTTTCAGACATCCAACTCCAGACAAGCGACACCGTCCCGCCCCTCTGCCCCACATCACCCCACCGAATTCCAGCACAGATGTCTGAAATAGGCGGCAATTGCGACCATCACGGCGCACCCCCGAAATGGAGCTCATGGCCTCGCTGGTGCTCACCAGAGTCGCCCTCCTGGCGCGCAGCACTGGCCAATAACTCTGTCGGCAGCGGTGAGCCATTATTTCCTCTCAGCGGAATCGGAGCGGCCTTGGCGCGAGTTGGCCCCATCTGTAGGTGGTGTGGTGCGAGCGCCCTGGTCCGAGCGGTCCCCAGACCGAGCGCTCACTCAGCCGACATAAGTCTTCACAGGACGGCACTGATGGCTAAATCAGTGCGTTTTGGGGTCGTTAGTGAGTGCGTTAGGTATGTGAAGATGTCAGACCATGGGTGACACTCGGGGAGGGTACGAAATAGATCAATTCAGTTGCCCCAATTGTTAGGTCAAAGGTTTACACCATAGGTTTCAGTTAGTCAAACACATGACAGTCGCTTGAAGTACCTACAGATACTGTTTTGGGCATTTTTCCGTCATGGCTTTATGTCACGGAATTTAGATGTCATTTATAGGTCATGCGCGATTAATGTGTTCTTGTCGATATTGGCTGTATGAGTCGTGTAATACCATCGTATACTTAGGTATAGCAACCGATACCTTCTGAAGCACTTTATAGTGTATGTCAGGTCAGCGTCAGGTCAAGGTCAAATTTGGAATTTGGTACAGGCGCTTATTTTCAGTTAATGCGCATTATGACAAATGCACTTATTTTCACGCTGCACTTTTTGATAAATGCATTTATTTTCACTTTTCCACTTTGTTTTTCGAAGCGAAGCTTTGAGTGAGATGAGGATGGACGGATGGTACCTAAGGATGAGGATATAATAGGAATACCGGATAGACAGATTTTCACGTTTCCAATGGGCTCATTGGGGCACGTAGAAAATAATGGTCTCAGCCCCTCTACTTTAAATATGCTAACGCTAATTTAAAACGTTATGGAAACGCTCAGTACTTCCAATTCACAAAGGAGCAATGGACCGTCACACAATCTTGTTCCAGTTTCCACCAATTTCACGAAGCCTCTCAAACATGTTTGGACAATGACCAGCTTGCTGCGCAACACGGCACGTCCATGTTTGTGTGGGGCCGGGGCCCGTCATCGACAGGCACTCAATCAGCTGACTGAAGGCCAGCTTGGTACGTCACTGGATCCGGCTGAGTGCAATGGGAAGCCGAGCAGGAGTGGGTCCGCTTTCACCTGCTTCCGTCCGAGATGAGCTGAACACTCATGGCACATTATTGATTGTTTGTTGCAGGCTGCAGCTCACCCTGTGCCATCTGAACTGTTATCCAGCCTTATTGCTCGTATTGCTTGTATTGTTTAATGTTTATGTAAGCAGGTATTCCCTGTGTTCACACCTTTGTATCAACGAGGGATAAGTCAACAGTTCACACATGTCTTGCTTGTGGCGGGCTGTTCCCGGTTAAATTAATGCCAACGGTAGGCATTTTTAGTGGCATAAAAGATACTAGATATACCCATGACATTGAGTACCGTTATCTGTGCATTTGACTGACGCACGGCTTGCCAACAGAGTGTTCTATTCAAAAGGATCTTTGCGGTCATTGCTGAAATGGGAAATATTTGAAAAATGCGTGGAACATGTCATGAATTTTCTATGAAAATTTGTGCCAACGTTTTACAGGTACACCTGTATATTAGCCGTTTGCTCGTGACAACTTTTAATTATCTTTATATATGAACCGTTCTCAGTGTTATTGGTGGCAAGTGGAACATGCCAAATTTGAAAATTACACCACTTTTTACTAGACTGCGTATGATTTTTCATGCACATATCCGACTCGTATCTACATCCGACCTGGGTACGTGGGTACATCCGTAGGCTACATCCGACCCGTACATATCCGACTTATTGTATCTGTGTCCCTACTCACTTAGAATTCTTCATTACTGTCTGTTTTACTAGCCCTGCACGTTGTGCAATATGTGCCAGTACCTACTCGTGCGATTAACATCAAATATTTGTGCCACGTAAGGTATTAAATCATTTTTAACATTTTCAACATAAACGACCGTAGTAACGCCCTTACGAGTGTTCCGGGGCCCATCATTGGACATTTACGTCACATGTTCAGACACAAGGCTACCGGCTTGAAACTACATGTCTTAGTCTAACGCCCCACTCAAATCAAACACAGCCCTTGATGCAAGTCTAATGCGGAGTTTTCTGACCTTTCAGCGACTGCATGCACCTGACACCCAGAGCCTGGCCTAGACTGAGTCACGAGTCGAGAGAAGAGTCTTGCGTCTGGCGAAACGGACAGCTCAGGTGAACACGACGTACGATCACAGTCAGCAGTGGTGAACAGAACAAGTGGTATCGGACAACATCAGTAAACGGAGCAAACGGTAACGGGCAACATCGGCGAATCAGTGGCAAAGGGTCACGGAGAACGTCAGTGAACAAAATAAACGGTAACAATACAGAACAAACGGCTACTGAGAGCAAAAGTGAGCAAAGAAGACGGCAAACTGACGACCAGTGTCCACGCCGCTGACCCTGGGGCCAGTCGTCTAACGCCAGGTCACCAGTCAGTCGCCTTTTTAGGCAACAATCGCTCACCAGTCGGCTACCTCCCGAACTCGTCATGGCTCCAGTACAGGGCTTCTGGGGTCAGCCGACGTCGACCCTCGACTGGTGCGAGTCCAACTATGACGTCAACAGTTATATCGCCGAGTTCTGTGAGTAGCGTGCTTCATGCTCTATTATTTATCATGAGCATTGCGCACTGTAAATGTACATTCTCGTAAACTCTAATGAATAGTTTTGAACACGCCATTGTTGCTTGAAACGCTAAACTAATTCTGCAGCAGGCATAGAGTTTAATCAAAGGAATGGGCAGTTATTCTTTCATTTTTGAATAACATCGATACTCGATAGCGTGCTGGCATGTGACTTTTTCCATTTGTTAATGACCTAGCCGTGGAAATTACTTCCTCAAATTAAATCATGCGTTTCAGTTTCGTATTTCTTTGAGGTATGTTTTCCTTGCGTACTTCGCATTCGTGACGGACATGCTTGCTTTTCTTGCCCCTGGCGAAGAATTACATGAATAGTTGGTTAGCGAAGTTTGGCATAAAACGTGTAACCTTTTATCTGCACCGCACTAACTCGGGCAGCATAAAAGATGCCACAAAATGTAGATGGTTAGGCTGTACCGCAACACAGCTAGGTGTTGCGGCACTGCATTCTCTCCGTTCGGAATGGACGAACTATGCGTAACTGCGAGATATTGATATGGTTGTTTTTTTCGTATCATTATGGAATTACTATCAAAACGACGGCTGCGAAACCGTTTTATAACAATTTGTTCGTGGCTCCGTCCAACACACAGTGCATGTTGTTAGCTTATTATCTATGCGTTTTGCGTACCTACGCTTATAAATTAATTATTGCATAACACGAGAGTTGTTCGGACTTGAAAATGTAATATGGTGTGTAGTTACATCATGACTGCACCATGTGGATACTTAATTTCCCATACCTGCTACATTGCATGATTAAATCGAGACATCCAGGCATTTTAATGGCACGTGCACTGTACCACTTTTTTCAAAGTTTAATGCAGTGCTTTAACCCGCGCCCTGCTGGGGGGGGTGTTTGAACACCCCCCCCTTGTGGTTTTTCGCGAATATCTCAAAAACGGCGGCGCGGAGCGCCGCCGTTTTTGGTACACCTTATCATACATCAATTCTACACATGTTGTGAAATTTTCAGACCAAGGTCATTCAAGGTCAGGTCACCAGGTCACTTGAAGTGACCTCACCTCATAAAAAGTTTCAATGTCTGTCATAGCTACACCGAGTGACCGATCGCTTTGAAACTTTCAGCGATTGCTGAGAGCAATAGCATGTACAAAATGTATATCTTAGAATTTTGATATCGATGACCTAAGGTCAGGTCAATTTTGCGACCTCCCCATTATAAGTCAATGGGAGAAAAATGAAATGCGTCTCTTTTGGACGAAAGACATTATAAACACTCCCAAACACCGAATTACAAGTGGTTTAGACACACTGAACATGAAAATGGTGTCCGTGACCCTTGTTTATGCCCTGAGGTCATCTTAGGTCACGAATGGTATCTAACAGTTTTTCGCAAATAACTTTTGATAGAGGCATGCTAGAGCGATGAAAATGCCTTATATGTGTTCAGCTCGGCGATACGGATCGACTGATATGCAACATGACCCTTTCCGGCCAGGTCATGACCTTGACCTGAGGTCAAATTTTCAAGTTGACCTTTCAAGGTTAAGTTATAGTTCATTCGATGCGTCTTGACGAGAGGAACACGATGCCGGTGAAAGTAAGCTCGTACAAGGCTTGGGTCAAAAGTTATTGCAGAAAAACTGTTTCCGAAAAAATCGGCTATTTTTGCAGTTTTTGCCCCCTGCAGGCAAAACCGTTGACGTTAGGTCAAATCTGAGAGAATTACTCAGAAAGGGCGTTAATAGGGCTATCGAATGCACTTTTCCGCGGCGCTGTAGCTCTATTGGTTCCCGAGTTATGCGTTGGCTTCTTGGAAATTTTCGACATTCGACCTGGAAATCGGCGAAATTTTGCCTTCAATGACCTCTGGTGACCTGACCTTTGACCTGACCAAAAAATTGACCGAAGTGATTTCGTCATTATTTTTTACGCTCTTTCGAACGCCGCCTTCCGCGTATCGTTACGTGGCCCAGGAGCCGAGTTAGAAGGGGGGGTGTTCAAACACCCCCCCCCCCAGCAGGGCGTGGAAATCCAGGACCCCCAGCAGGGCGCGGGTTAATATTGCCAGCCGTGTGGTTCAAGGGGTGTGGTTAACCCGCGAGTTGCTGGGGGGGGCGTTAAACGCCCCCACTTTTTTCGCCGGGCCTTAGCATAAAAACGGCGCGCCGCAGGCGCGCCAAATTTTCAGTAACTGTAGGGAATTGATTGAAGTTTACTGTGACAAAGTTTCAAAAAAATCGGTCGGAAAATTTTTGAGATATCGAGGTTTCAGTGACGTCATGATTTCTGACTTTTCGACCAAAAACGGCATATGTTCAAAAAATCATATAAAATCACAAAATAGACATACAGACATGCCGTAAACGCCATTAGACTGCCAATACCATGAACAATCAAATGGCTATCTTCGATTATTGATGATCGTTCCGCATTTTCCAAAATCTCGAACAGAATCTCGGCAATTTCTCGTGACTACTTCACGACCATGATACATGCATTTCTTAAATTCAACTTTTTGAGCCAAACACGTACACATATGATAAAATGAATGTCACCATCGTGTTCTACGCCCCAAATTACCCATAAAACATGTGTCACAGGCTGCGAATATCAGTTTTGATTTTCGGGGATATGTGCCTACCCGGTTGACCTGACCTTGACCCTGACCTATGCTTGACTGACCCCTACATGGAGCTGACACTCTTGTAGGCCTTATATGATGGATTGTGCACCGTTTTGACAGAGTTTATGACGAGAGGCGCCCATTGCGAAGTCCTGAAGTCCATGCTACTGAAAGCCCGATTTCAGGTGTTTGACCTGACCTTGACCCGACCTGTGACCTCAAAATTCAACTTTAAAGTACTCATCTGAAGCGTCTCGTCGCGTTCTTTCGTTTGCCGCCTCGTGCGTTTCGCTGCGCCTATTGGTTCTCGAGTTATCGGCTGGGGGCGTTTAACGCCCCCCCCCCCCCCAGCAAACGGTGGGTGGCGAAATACCCCAGCAACTGCCGGGTTAAACCACTGAACTCTAATATATACTGGAAGGAGCATTGGTGACTTGTTTTTGTCTATCGATTTCCGCCATGTTGTGTATACCAGAAATATAAATTGCATGTACGGTAGCAGAGGTGCAGTTAAGTGAGAGGTACACTACTCAAAAGTGCTGCTGCTTCATGCTTGCAGTTTGATTGCAGTGATCAACTTTTCAAGACTTTGGTATACACAACATGGCGGAAATCGTTAAACATTCTGGCCCATATACGGCCAAGGCGAGTGCCTCCCACTGGGTTAAACGCGTTGAACCACACGGCTGCTGACGTCACTATCAATTATAGTTGTGAGCTTTTTGGCAGGTATGGGAAACACCTTCCAGCCCTAAGGCCGGGAATTCAATAGATAGATAGATAGATAGATAGATAGATAAGCTTTATTTCAGACTCTGGGTCCATACTCTTAAATACTGATGATTTCAGTCAGTGCAGTGGCAAGACAACCAAATGTCACACAAACAATCATTCGGGCCTGTTTCAGCACTCGCGCAGAGCTATGTGCTAAAATGAACGTACAGTTGCTGTTGCCAGTGGCGCCTCAGGCGAGAACGGTATTTTACACTCGAATTTTCAGTCTTTTTTACCAGCTCACTATCACATGTACTCAGCCTGCACATGAAGTTATAGATGCGCTGTCTGATGAGAACGGCACAATGAGGAACACGGTGCACGACACATGTGTGAGAAGAACTCTCGTACCTAGAAATGCCTAGCATAGTTTTCAATACCGTATGGTAAGCCACCATCAGCCGGCGCAACATACACTGGCGATAATTTGCCCACAAGTGTGCAGTGTACATAGATGAACAAAACGCTGTAAAGAGACGCGCCTTTGCTGCTACCGAGCACATGTGAAAACGACGAATCAGCACATTCCCCTGTTTGTACATTTGCTTACACTGCCGATCGATGTCAAGGTCATCTGAGTAAGCATGATTACTGATGATATGCCCTAAGTACCAGACTTGTGATCAGCTCAGTTGAGCCGGCTCAAAAATCAGCTCAGCTCATGAGCCGGCTCAACATTTTGCCAAATTGTTGAGCTGTGAGCTGAGCCGGCTCAGTAATGCATTGAGCTGAGCTGCTGTCTGAGCTGAGCTGAATGAGCTTGAGCTGAGCTGAGCTGAATGAGCTTGAGCTGAGCTGAGCTGAGCTGATTGAGCTGAGCTGAGCTGATTGAGCTGAGCTGAGCTGAACGAGCTGAGCTGATTGAGCTGAGCTGATTTAGCTGAGCTGAGCTGATCCAGTTCTAATTCTTTTCAGTTCATGCTTGGAAATTAACTCAGGCTTTGATGCTTCAGCTATGAGCTAGCTATGGAGTGAGCAATTACACTGCCTTCGTGATCGCACTTAAAAATATCAAAACTCTAAAGAAATCAATAGTAATCACTAATCAAGCTTAATTTCTTTCACCCATATTGCATGGAAATTGGAAGACCAGGGTCTTGGCCAATTTACAGGCTAATACAGCCAGTCTCAAGTTTCAAGTCTGACTGCAAGATGAATACCTACTGTCAGGCTTTGATGCTTCGCCTTGACACTCCGCTCCGCAATGTACAATTCAGCATTCTTCACTTTGTTATTTAAGCAGTTATTTAAATTAATTTTATCAATAAGAGTTCTTACCTCTGCATAACATTTACAATTAGGAATTAGCAAATAAAGTTCCTCTTCGTTGGTTGAATGTGGGCTAAGCAACCATATCCTATTGAAAGTGGGGTGGGGCAGAGGCGCTAACTGGAAATCTCACCTTCTGATGTCCATTATATGGGAAAAGCTCCCTTATTCACACGCCGAATATGAATTCTAATAGTGTTGACATTGCCTTGGTTGAGATCAGGGTGGTGTTATAGGTTTCACTGATAACAGCACGCTGCTATCACACGTGTCAAATGGGGTTTCCATGGAGATATAAACAAACTCTTATCTCCAAGTTCCAACACTACCCCAAAATGTAACGTCAGCTCCTGGCAGGGTGCCAAGAGCGGATGGCGGCGTGGGCGTGCTGCTCTCGGCCGTGAAACACCGCCTAGTTGAGATGATTCCATGACGTTTTTTTTTTTTCGTCGAGAAGATATTCGTCGGACAATTTTTCGTCCGCAGATTTTCGTCCGACTTTTTTCGTCTCGCATTTTTTTCGTCTGTACATTTTTTCGTCCGTGCATTTTTTCGTCGGTACATTTTTTCTGAGCGGAAACTGAGCTGAGCTGAATTGAGCGGAAACTGAGCTGAGCTGAACGGGAACTGAGTTGAGCTGAGCTGAGCTGAGCGGAAACTGAGCTGAGCTGAGCGGAAACTGAGCTGAGCGGAAACTGAGCTGAGCTGAGCTGAGCGGAAACTGAGCTGAGCTGAGCTGAGCGGAAACTGAGCTGAGCTGAGCTGAGCGTGAGCGGAGCGCAGCCGGTTTGAGCGGAACGTGAGCTGAGCTAAGCCGCGTTAAACTGAGCGGGAGCGGAGCGGGAGCGGATAAGACGAAGTTGAGCTGAGCGAGCTCACTTTTTTCTTGAGCTGTCACAAGTCTGCTAAGTACTTTACATGATCAACCTCCTTTAGAGGAACACCTTCAATGAACAGCCTTGGCAATATCAAATCTTTCATGTGTTTAGAGCGACAAGCCAGTACAACACTTTTCTTTGCATTGTACAAAATATTGCAAGTTTTTCCGAATTCTCCACACAATGAAATCAGTTTGCTCAACCCTGCAACCGACGGTGATAACAATACCACATCATCTGCGTACATCAGATGATTGATTTTCGCATCCCCTACCCAGCAACCTACATTCTGTCTATTTAACAAAGAACTCAGACCGTCCATATACACATTAAACAGATATGGGGACAATATGCCACCCTGCCTAACACCGTTCGATACCCTATAAATTTAAAGGAGATGGCACCACCCCACCGGACACACATTTCCTGACGGGCGTACCAGTACACGAGTACACGAACAATGTATATTGGGACTGCTCTGTCTCGAAGAATGTCGAAAAGCCTTTTATGCTGTACACGATCGAATGCCTTGCTTGAATCCAAGAAACACATAAATACACTGCCATTCATGGACTTGTACAGATCAATAGACTGTTTCAGGAGGTATATGCACTGGTCAGTTCCCATTCCCTTTTTGAAGCCAAACTGATTGGAGGCTGTCAACAGGTGGTCCTCCATCCGTTCCAAAAGGATTAGTTCTAGCGCTTTACTCATTACGCTAGCTAGCGCAACAGGTCGGTAGTTATCTTTTGCAGTGACCTTACCAGCTTTATCCTTGATAATCGGCACCAGGACCACCGCCATCATTGATTCTGGGAGAATGCCATGCATAAGTAGTGCTGTGAAGCAAGCGGATAACTTTGACGATAAACTTTTCCCCGCATATTTCAAGTTTTCGGCCTGTAAACCATCAATCCCACTAGCTTTCCCACACTTCATTTTTTGGACAGCATCCTGAATCTCGCCTTCGGACACTCTGATATCACCTACAGACGATTCCCTGTCCTCTTCCCAGAGCGTACCATCTGATGACGGCATCGAATTGAGAAGGCTGGAGAAATGTTGGCTGGAGAAGGCTGGAGAGAAGGCTGGAGAAGGCTGGAGAAACCCTCGCTTTTTTAGCGAAAAGCACCTCGGGCCTAACGGCCCTCGGAGTTTTCGCTAAAAAACCTCGGTGACATTTATTGAATCATCCCGGCCCCGGGCAGGAATATATTGTTCCGCGAATAAAACGTTTTCAAATCAGATCCTTCGACCTTTTTCATCTGAAATCACAAGGGAAAATCAAGCTGAATGCTGCTTCGATTGCATTATTGGGTTTCCCTTTTGAGATGCGTGTTACGGCTTTATTCTTCAGTTTCGCTCGGGTAGCCAAGACAATATTGCACCTTTCTTTGCCAGCCTTTACTGTCTGACCCAATGATGCCCCTCCCTCCCGTATGAGTGACGGCCGACGGAGAGGTGGCACCATTTTCTTTTATTGTAAGGAAGGGGGCAGGGGCTATCAGTCAGCTGAACGTGCAATTACCCACAATTTATTACCGTCATTACCACCCCACGGTGTGGCATAATTACCAAATTACCAGTCTACTGAGGCCAGTTCGGGAAATTATCGATCCACTCGTCTGCTTTATTTTGCATGCATGAAAATGAAAAATAATTAACGTGCTTGACATACACAATATAATTTTGTATTCCTGTATGATTTGGCGATGGTGCCTGCTATATCATTCCTCATTTACTTATGATATGAGCTTGAAGCCTGCTATTGATACTACATATAACTCTATTGTCAAATAATAATTGCCTTATACGTCAGGCGAGGGCGAAAATCATGTTTGTTCCAGCGTTGTCTCTTTTTCAGAGCACATCACTGAGGAGCGCAGCACGTGACCTGATCCCACTTCGTTCGCAGGGAACACACTGAGCAACCTGTCAATGATCGTGCCGCCCCTGTACGGCATCTACGAGTCGTGCAGGAATCAGTTCGAAGTTCGGTTCACAGTCTGCTTCGCTCTCCTCATCGGTTAGTCATTGCCGTAGCCTGTGCGGACTAGTCGGTATATAGCCCGGTGTTGGTTTTGAGTACAATTTTATGAGTTATTGTGGACATACGATAATAAAAAATGCCGACTTTCAAAAACATTCAATCCCAACGAAATACGGAATCATTATGCATATAGTGTCACCAAGCATAAACTTGGACGAACTCGACAGAAAAAAAAACACTCGTAAAAAATCGACTACCTACTTTTTGGTTTGCAACGTTACCATTATGTCCATAACCATATGTCAATTTCAGCGAAGCCAGGGCTAAATATTATATTGCTTATGCCTTACAATATGCTCAAAAGGCGCGGATATTTCATAAAATATGCCTCTTGTTATTATTTTAACGGGCTATAGTTTATGCGTCTATCGCTCCCTGTTCGAAAGAGTGCACGCAAAACGGTTCCAAGCCACTCACAAGGCTCACGATGTCTCGCCGACTGGGAAATCATTGACCTCCTGCCTCCATGTGTGTCCGGCAGTGGTGGGCTGCGGCTCGTGGGCGTTCCACATGACGCTGCTGTACGAGATGCAGCTGACGGACGAGCTGCCCATGATATTCTGCAGCTGCTTCCTCCTATACTGCCTGTAAGTATATCGACCACTCGTCATAATTCGGCGGCTGCTGCATCGACTATGGCATACGAGTATACGCCCATTCCAGCCCTCCGCTCTGATAGTTTCTCCCGCCGTTCCTGTGGGCTATCACCGGTTTCCCCTAGTTTTCTTTCCAATTGTCTTCATACAATATGAACCTCTTTCACCTTCTCTGCAGCCTCTCTATATCAGTGAACTTATCGCTAACCACACAGCCTACCCGAACCTTCAATTGACCTATTGGCAAAGGAAGTCAGTCCCTTGATATCAATTTTAATCCGGAGTTAGCCACCTAAGGGAAGCACAGTGCCTGTGACGCAGATGGCTCGCGTTAGCTGACCTTTCTGGTTAGGTGCGTCACCACCCGGACTTGACCTGAAAGCCGCGTCTGCCCGGCGAACTCATGACCAGTCGCGATGCTGATGGTTTGTTGTCATGGAAACCGCTCAGCGCTCGATCAATAAAGCCACAATCATAATAACGATGCGTGAATATGTCCAGAGTTAGTCGATGTTACAATGGCGCTTATAAATAGCAGACGACCTTTCCAACGCTGGGTCGTCGTCCGTTGCCCTATAGGCGCTTCGACCGAACGAAAAGTGGTGTAGTCCTGAGCCGAATATATTATTTCTTATTAAGCACCGCTTTGAGGTGAAGCCTCACTATCCTGCGCCATGGCCGCCATGCCGGTATTGGGCCTCATTTGCATAGTTTGAGAAAGAAAGAAAGAAAGAAAGAAAGAAAGAAAGAAAGAAAGAAAGAAAGAAAGAAAGAAAGAAAGAAAGAAAGGAGTATTCTGAGAAGGGGAGTGAACTCAAACTTTTTTTTAACTCAGCTGATGTGTGACCGGTAGTATTTGTTTAGGGATGAACGATTTGATTTAGGGGAAGGTGGGGTAAGATGGACCAGCTAAGGTTTGAGGCCGCATATCTTGCTACACTGCTCTCGTAATTCATATTATTTATAGTCTTCGGAATGCTCAATCCTTCCTCTGTTGATCTACTATTATAAATCTTAAAAAGTCCGCCGCCGCCCACGCCCACGCCGCCGTCGGGGTTACTCCCAAAAAGGCTTATTGCGGCGCTGTCGATGGACGCAGGAGGGTGAAATTTTCACAACTCGTGGGTCACGTAATAAAACAGGTCATATTAAACTTTGGGCACGATGCGGCCGGGGGTGCGCCCGTGGCGCGTGCTCATGTGCGCCATAGGGTTAGCATTAGAATCGCGACCGGCGCCGAGCAGAGGGCACGTGCTTTAGGCTCAGTTGTTCGCTTAAAAAACTGAGTGGAATCAGAGCCGGCAGGTCATTGACCTTTGGCAACGAAGGCCGACACAAGGCACCGCTCGCCAAGGGGATTCGCCAGTAAATACAATTAATTTGTTTTTGCAATATCTCAGCCGTTTCTCGGCCGATTTAACTGAAACTTTGACTGTCGGTGGTAGTGTAGGGTAGGGTAGGGTAGGGTAGTGTAGGGTAGGGTAGGGTAGGGTAGGGGTTGGGTAGGGTAGGGTAGGGGTAGGGTAGGGTAGGGTAGGGTAGGGTAAGGTAGGGTGGGGTAGGGTAGTAGGGTAGGGACTAGGGTAGGGTAGGGTAGGGTAAGCTAGGGTAGGGTAGGGTAGGGTAGGGTATGGTATGGTAGGGTAGGGTAGGGTATGGTAGGGTAGTAGGGTAGGGTAGGGTAGGGTAGAGTTAGGTAGGCTAGGGTAGGGTATGGTAGGGTAGGGTAGGGTAGGGTAGGGTAGGGTAGGGTTAGGGTAGGGTAGGTTAGGGTAGGGTAGAATAGGGTAGGGTAGGGTAAGGGTAGGGTAGGGTAGGGTAGTGTAAGGGTAGGGTAGGGTAGGGTAGGGTAGGGTAGGGTAGGGTAGTAGGGTAGGGACTAGGGTAGGGTAGGGTAGGGTAAGCTAGGGTAGGGTAGGGTAGGGTATGGTAGGGTAGGGTAGGGTAGGGTATGGTAGGGTAGGGTAGGGTAGGGTAGAGTTAGGTAGGGTAGGGTAGGGTAGGGTAGGGTAGGGTAGGGTAGGGTAGGGTAGGGTAGACTTAGGTAGGGTAGGGTAGACTTAGGTAGGGTAGAGTTAGGTAGGGTAGGGTAGGGTAGGGTAGGGTAGGGTAGAGTAGGGTATGGTAGAAGGGTAGGGTAGGGTAGGGTAGGGTAGGGTAGGGTAGTAGGGTAGGGTATGGTAGGGTAGGGTAGGGTAGGGTAGGGTAGGGTAGGGTAGTAGGGTAGGGTAGTAGGGTAGGGTAGGGTAGGGGGTAGGGTAGGATAGGGTAGGGGTAGGGTAGTGGTAGGGTTGAGTTCAAAAAGGGCCCAACATACAAAACATTTGAATACCCCGCAACTATCATCATCCCTTACAGTTCAATAAAAACAGCTACCCAAATCTACCCAAATAATACAGCTAAAAATACAAGTCAATCACCCAAAACTAATGCACCCGTAACATAACATAAATCAAAACATACAGTTATCGCGTAAACCTGTACCTCTAGTCTACTATTTATAAATCCTAAAAAGTCCGCCGCCGGTTACTCCCAAAAAGGCTTATTGCGGCGCCGTCGATTGAAGCACGAGGGTGAAATTTTCACGACTCGTGGGTCACGTCATTCAACAGGTCGTATTAAATTTTGGGCACGATGCGGCCGGGGGTGCGCCCGTGGCGCGTGCTCATGTGCGCCATAGGGTTAGCATTAGAATCGGCAAAAACAGGCTACTGCTCGGGAACGGTAAGGGCTACGGGGGTGAAATTTTCACGCCAAGTCGATCGCGTGCACTCATTTGTCGTATTAAATTTTCGACGGTGTGGGATCAGCGGTGTGCACGTGGTGGGGCCGCGGCCGGCGCCGAGCAAAACGCTCGTGCTTTAGGCTCAGTTGTTCGCTTAAAAACTGACTGGAAATAATCAGAGCCGGCAGGTCATTGACCTTTGACAACGAAGGCCGACACCAGGCACCCCTCGCCAAGGGGATTCGCCAGTAAATACGATAAATTTGTTTTTGCAATATCTCAGCCGTTTCTGGGCCGATTTAGCTGAAAGTTGGACTGTCGGTGGTAGTGTAGTGTAGGGTAGGGTAGGGTAGGAGTAGGGTAGGGTAGGGTAGGTAGGGTAGGGTAGGGTAGTGGTAAGGTAGGGTAGGGTAGGGTAGGGTAGTAGGGTAGGGTAGGGTATAGGGACTAGGGTAGGGTAGGGTAAGGTAGGGTAGGGTAGGGTAGGGTATGGTAGGGTAGTAGGGTAGGGTATGGTAGGGTAGGGTAGAGGTAGGTAGGGTAGAGTTAGGTAGGGTATGGTAGGATAGGGTAGGGTAGGGTAGGGTAGGGTAGTAGGGTAGATTAGGGTAGAAGGGTAGGGTAGGGTAGGGTAGGGTAGAGTAGGGTAGGGTAGTAGGGTAGGGTAGGGTAGGGTAGGGGTAGGGTAGGGTATGGTAGGTTAGGGTAGTGTAGGGTAGGGTAGTAGGTTAGGGTAGGGTAGGGTAGGGTAGGGTATGGTAGGGTGTAGGGTAGGGTAGGGTAGGGGGTAGGGTAGGATAGGGCAGGGGTAAAGTAGGGGTAGGGTAGGGGTAGGGTTGAGTTCAAAAAGGGCCTAACATACAAAACACTTGAACACCCCGCAACTATCACCATCCCTTACAGTTCAATTAAAAACAGCTACCCAAATCTACCCAAATAATACAGCTCAGAATACAAGTTAATCACCCAAACTAATGCATCCGTAACATAACATAAATCAAAACATACAGTTATCGCGTAAACCTGTACCTCTAGTCTATATTATAAATCCTAAAAAATCCGCCGTCGGGGTAACGCCCAAAAACGCTTATAGCGGCGCCGTCGATTGACGCAGGGGGGTGAAATTTTCACGGCTCGTGGGTCACGTCATTCAACAGGTCGTATTAAATTTTGGGCACGATGCGGCCAGGGGTGCGCCCGTGGCGCGTGCTCACGTGGTGTGCCATAGGGTTAACACTAGAATCGGCAACAGACTATTGCTCGGGAACGGTAAGGGCTACGGGGGTGAAATTTTCGCTGCAAGTCGGACGCGTGCACTCATTTGTCGTATTAAATTTTCGAGGGGGTGGGTTCAGCGGTGTGCACGTGGTGGGGCCGCGACCGGCGCCGAGCAGAAGGCACGTGCTTTAGGTTCAGTTGTTCGCTTAAAAAACTGAGTGGAAAGCAACAGAGCCGGCAGGTCATTGACCTTTGACAACGAAGGCCGACACAAGGCACCGCTCGCCAAGAGGATTCGCCAGTAAATACAATTAATTTGTTTTTGCAATATCTCAGCCGTTTCTCGGCCGATTTAACTGAAACTTGGACTGTCGGTGGTAGTGTAGGGTAGTGTAGTGTAGGGTAGGGTAGGGTAGGGTAGGGTAGGGGTAGGGGTAGGGTAGGGGTAGGGTAGGGTAGGGTAGGGGATTGTAGGGTAGGGTAGGGTAGGGTAGGGTAGGGCAAGGTAGGGTAGGGTAGGGTAGGGTAGAGAATGCTAGGGTAGGGTAGGGTAGGGTAGTGTAGGGTAGGGTAGGGTAGGGTAGCGTAGGGTAGGGTAGGGTATGGTAGGGAATGGTAGGGTAGGGTAGGGTATATGGTAGGGTAGGGTAGTGTAGGAGTAGGGTAGGGTAGGGTAGGGGTAGGGTAGGTAGGGTAGGGTAGGGTAGGGTAGGGTAGGGTAGGGTAGTGGTAAGGTAGGGTAGGGTAGGGTAGTGTAGGGTTAGGGTAGGGTAGGGTAGGGTAGGGTAGGGTAGGGTAGGGTAGGGTAGGGTAGGGTAGGGTAGGGGTAGGGGTAGGGTAGGTAGGGTAGGGTAGGGTAGGTTAGGGTAGTGTAGGGGTATGATAGGGTAGGATAGTGTAGGGGTAGGGTAGGGTAGGGTAGGGTAGGGTAGGGTTGCGTTCAGTAACATCCTAACTTACAAAGGGCTCGAACAACTCGCATGCATCACCATCATACTTTACAGTTCAATTAAAAGCAGTTACCCAGTTCTACACAAATTATACCAATAAAAATGCAAGTTTCTACACCCAAACTAATGCATCCGTTAATCATACATATCAAAACATACAGTTATCGCGTAAACCTGTACCTCTAGTATGTGTAAAGGCTAATTTCAACTTAAAGACATCTAGGTGGTGCATGCTCTTAAAGAGGGACATGTCAAAAACTCAGACAAGAAAAAACGTGGGGTAAGACGGACCACCCAGCAGTGCCTGCTATCCGTTCATGTGTTACACTTCTGCTCTGTACTCTTGTAAGAAAAAGTAGCCAGAATGGTAAAATAACAAAATGAGCCATTATTCTTTACTCATGTGTGATGGAAGTGCAGCTAAAAGCTGGAAACATGTGTGTTTATTGTCGTTTGGCATGAATGCATGCTAACTGAGCACTTGCATGCATGGCTCACATGCAACAAAGACTCCTTCCTGAAAAATTAGCTTACTTAAACTTGTGTCAATGTTTTGGAAATTGGAAAAGAACTTTCCATATGCAGGGTACAATGGACCACCACAGGGTAAGATGGACCACAGTGGTCCGTCTTGCCCCAAATCTAAATTCTGTCATTATCATGATGTATATGTCAAATAGCCCAACATTGCAAAACCTTGCCTTTCCTAAAGTGTGACTATAACTAAGTTTATAACTTTGTTCTTCACAGTAAAGTGCAAAATAGAAACTAATCATGCAAGAAAGGCGCTGTAATTGAATCACCCGTCGACCTCTTATAATAGATCGGTTTGACGAAAAACAACATTTTTCTCAATAACTCAAAAGCTATCCATCCTAGCAGCATGAGCTCAAGGTGGCCATTGTTACGAAGGAAAACAAACATAGTGAGTGCATAAAGCAGTAGATACCAGCAGCGGTTCAACCGGGAGGGCTGGTGGTCCGTCTTGCCCCGCTGGGCCGTCTTACCCCACCTTCCCCTACAATTGTCGAACTCGGCCCTATAAACTAGCAGTGATCGCCGCAAGTCGCAACTTTTGGAGTTTTATTTCTACTGAAAATTATGTGCGCACTTTTTAGTTTTTTAATTTGCAAACTCCAAAACTCAGGCTTAAATTTAAAGCCTCCAAAACGTTGACAACCATTATTTGCTCGTCCCTGCGAGTCTTCATAACTAATATTGCAAGTGTCCGCAATCGCATTGAGGTACAAAATGAGCAACTAATGATTTTGAATTGAGAGAATATATGAAAACTTTGGAACCGATTTGCTCAGCATGGCGTTGACATAGACAATGTATATGTGACAATTTGCTACGGTTTGACAATCCTTGAGTACAGCGGTTCATACCAGTCGTATCCACTCACTTGTCACTTTTCACCCGCACGTGATCTAGGTATGTAAATACTATCGGCTGAATTCTAAATCACCCGGCGCGGAGGGGCACCATCAGAGCGCACTATGGTCCAGGCTGCCGACAGCATGAATAATAAAATCAGACACATGAGGGGACGCGCGACCTGACGGCGAATTGTGCGTGCGTGCAGACATTGATCACGGCACACCGTTGGCAGCAGGAAGTGTCCCGTGAGACATACAAACGGTTGCTTGTCAACGATGATAAGAATCAGGAGCCCGGGGCAAGCCCTCATTGACTATAGATATATGTGTTCCAAAGGAAGTAAGCTTTGTACTAATGCACATTTACATTCGATACAAATGTTAGTCATTAGCGTTCATGTTCATATATGTTTCCAATCCAATAAGTAATAGCGAAAATCGGCAGAGGCTATTAGCACTCAAAGCACTGATTTTTTAGGGGCTGCATATCCCAGCATAAAAAGCTCGCCCAAAATGTTTGACCGGCGTAGTCCTACTTTCTTTATGTACAGTTCTGTAGGCTCCTGCTCTGTTCACCGGCGTGTGCCATGGTGTCCGCCGGGCGGAATCCGCCCCACGCCTGCCCGTCCGCTCCTATTGTCGCCGCGTCACAGCTATTTACTCCGCTCGGCCACTCGTTAGCGCATTGAAACGCCGCGCTATGTACACGGACATGCACACAGCGTACACATTACGTAACGCAGCTGGTGGAAGGCGATTTATCGGATCAGGATATCGGGAGAAGGGGGGAGGGGCTGTAGGCCCGGATATCCGTAACGTAACGGCTGACAACCCAGTTCTGTTCGAGCGGACGCAAGCCTTATCCGAACTCGGAAATATGTAAACGTAATTGTCGTGAGCGGATGTCGCTTTGCATCGGGTGTTAGAATTTGTTTGCAAATTGCAAGCAAATGTTGCGCGCTTAGAACTGTTAAAGCCATTGCGTTCTGATAACTAACGAACATAAATTTGCAACGTCAAAAACAATGTGATTTAAGAAGACTCGTGAAATGTCTTTGAAGTTAGAAAGGGAAATTAACGATGTCGTGTGCTCATGAACCTATAATGAGTTTCGCTGCAGTTGATTATATTCGTGTCGGTGCTCCACCAGAAATTAGGCTTGAAGATAAGCTAATCTTACATTATGAAAAAAGATGGCTCCATGGACATAGCCAGCCTGGAGCGAAATTCGAGCAGTTGAATCGATTAACCCTCGCCCGCACATGCCATTTTCCCATCCTATAGAACGCACATGGTGGTTGCCACCCCCCCGCGCCATTTCGTTCCTATTGGAGATAGAGCTTAGCGGTAAAGACTAAAAAGATTTTTTTTGGGAAGAGACAAATCCAACGATACCCAGTTTTACCTTCTCAGGTCAGTCATTGACCTTCCAGGTCAGGTCAAACTAAAAAATGTTGCTGTTTTGGGCTACCGTTGTATATCAAGTGCGCTGCTTACCAAATACCGATGACGATGCTGTTTTCTGGTGCCAAGCCAGCTAGAACCTCTTTGTCACACTACCCGACCAGATTTTTGCTGCTGAGGTCATTTCAGGTCAAGTTAAGTCAAGGTCAATTATATGTTTGTATGTCTGTGTGTGTCTGTGTGTATACTGATGTGTGCACCGATTGTTTTTTGGGTTCATATTACATGAAATCATGATCTGAAAAGCTTTTACCAAAAATGCAGTCAAAAAACTTCACAAAAAAGTAAATTCAGCTTGCCTAAAACGCAATTATCTTAGATGAACTAGGTTGACCTTGACCCTGACCTTGACCCCTGTACATCGTCGAACAACATGTTCCATGATAGGTGGGAGGTAAGACTGGCAAAAAAGGCCGAAATCAGGGTATCAAAAGCTCACAAGGCCCATGGCAAGCGCAAGATGTTGAGAATTGGCCATTTGGGTCATGACATGACCTAAAAAACAAGGTCATATCTCCAAAACCAAAAATCACAGAAATTTGAAATGTTCAGTGGACATCAAGAAAGGATAGAGGAGCAGCTATACGAAAAATCAGCTTTCTAGCTCCAAAAATGTTGAGTGCAGAGCAGAAAGACTACCTGGGGGGTGGCAACCCCCCCCCCCCCCATGTGCGGGCGAGGGTTAACCCGGCAGTTGCTGGGGTATTTCGCCACCCACCGTTTGCTGGGGGGGGGGGGCGTTAAACGCCCCCAGCCGATAACTCGAGAACCAATAGGCGCAGCGAAACGCACGAGGCGGCAAACGAAAGAGCGCGACGAGACGCTTCAGATGAGTACTTTAAAGTTGAATTTTGAGGTCACAGGTCGGGTCAAGGTCAGGTCAAACACCTGAAATCGGGCTTTCAGTAGCATGGACTTCAGGACTTCGCAATGGGCGCCTCTCGCCATAAACTCTGTCAAAACGGCGCACAATCCATCTTATAAGGCCTACAAGAGTGTCAGCTTCATATAGGGGTCAGTCAAGCATAGGTCAGGGTCAAGGTCAGGTCAACCGGGTAGGCACATATCCCCGAAAATCAAAACTGATATTCGCAGCCTGTGACACGTGTTTTATAGGTAATTTGGGGCGTAGAACACGATGGTGACATTCATTTTATCATATGTGTACGTGTTTGGCTAAAAAAGTTCAATTTAAGAAATGCATGTATCAAGGCCGTGAAGTAGTCACGAGAAATTGCCAAGATTCAGTTCAAGATTTTGGAAAATGCGGATCGATAATCAATAATCGAAGATAGCCATTTGATTGCCCATGGTATTGGCAGTCTAATGGCGTTTACGGCATGTCTGTATGTCTATTCTGTGATTTTATATGATTTTTTGAACATATGCCGTTTTTGGTCGAAAACTCAGAAATCATGACGTCACTAAAACCTCGATATCTCAAAAATTTTCCGACCGATTTTTTGAAACTTTGTCACAATACACTTCAATCAATTCCCTACAGGTACCCAAAATTTGGCGCGCCTGCGGCGCGCCGTTTTTATGCTATGGCCCGGCGAAAAAAGTGGGGGCGTTTAACGCCCCCCCCCCAGCAACTCGCGGGTTAACGGGCAGATGCATATTCAGCTATATCCAATTATAGTGTCATTTGGAGCGTCTGTGTCGTCAACTTTTCGTGGTGTTGACGCAGGTTTATTTTTGTTTTCAGAGCCGACATTCAGCACATGCAGACACAGAGTCACCTGAACTGGCTGTCAGTCAGCCTGGTCATCTATTCACTCATCTTCACCTTGTCGTACCTGCTCTACCCCAACCCGCTCCTTCATCAGGTGAGGGCGAACTCAACACTCGGCGAACAGTAAACAGACGGACAAACATACAAACGGATGGTCGACAGTCGACAACAAATAGACGTGCATACGGGGAATTATCATTTGTCAGATGAGTATAAGCACTGGGGAGCAGACGGATGGAGGACGAGCTGACGGGCGGGCAGACGGACAGACGGACAGACGGACAGACGGACAGACGTACGAACAGACAAACGGACCGACAGACAGCCGGACAGACGGACGGACTGATGTGGGGACTGTGAACTATGAACCATGGGGACTGAAACAGGCGATTCGTGCGGACTTTAGACAAATATACTGCACATAGAGGGACAGCCAAACAGTTTTATCGGATCAGGATGGATGATGAAAAGACTAACAGACAGACAAAAGAATATCAATAGGCTGACAGCCAGACAAGCGGGCTGAAACATGCCAGCATTAAACAGATCGGATGATAGCTATGCGATTGTAAGGGAAGAAATGTCATCATAATTCAAAACCATTCAGGTATTTATAAATGGCATCTCGTTCAGCCGGTACTTCAACATCCCTAGTGAGTGAGACTCTGACTGACCGCTCATCTGTGACCGCCCGGCAGGCCATCTATGGTCTAACCACCATCATCATCACAGCACTGGACGTTCGTCTGGTGCGCACCCAGACCGACCGACAGCTGTGGCGACTCTTCTACGGCGGCATGGTCTGCTACTCGACGGCGTTCCTGCTCTGGAACGTCGACAACCACATGTGTCTGCCCATCAGGTGGGTGTCCCCCCGTCCCCACCCCCCGACCGACCCCCCTCCCCGGCCCATGGCCGCATACGACACGGTCGTGGCTGCAGCTATTTCGGGAGCGCGCGGTACCGGACGGCCGCCGATGCGACGGGTGCGGCACCGCAGCCACTGCCAGGGTGTACTCTTGGACGGTGTAGCCGATGTGCATAGGTCGAATAATTCTCTTTTGGATAAATCTAGTAGGTATTTACCTTGGGGTCTAATATTTTCTTCAACGAAATTTGGGGAAATATATACGTTAGATTACCTATGCGAGACTTAAACTAGGGGTCCGCTGGACTGTCATTATATAATGAAGTGCTGATTCACCGGGAAATTGGTGTTGGCACTGGCTAAGTTTCAGTTCAACAAACTGACGGGCGGTAAATTGTTAAATGTGCCTAAAATTAAGTCAGTCTGTACTGGCACCTGCTGGTGTCCGTCACAGTAACGCACGGCACCACAGTTGGATGCCACATAGCCTCGTACCACTTGGAAGCTGTGCCTTCTTATAACAGACCGAGATCCTGGCCCCATCTATTGATAACCGCTGCATATTATCCGCTGTCAGGGGGTCCTAAGCACGCCTCATGCTTGTCTCTCGGGGACGTGGCATATCGGACGTTAACCCTATTCCTGGCGGGGGGGGGGCCTCAGGAGCCCCCCCCCCCTGAGGTTTTTTGGTTATATCTCCCAAACGCGTTGAGCTAGGAAGCTCAAATTTTCTGACTTTTCCTAAAAGGCTTCTACGCAACATGTCTGAAAATTTTGAGTTGATCTGACCTCAGGTCAGGTCACCAGAGGCGGTTTGGTGACGCTACCTCAGAAAAGTTTGCAATCACGCCAGAGCTAGAGTTTTTGACCGATCGATTTCTTCTCTTCAGGGTTTAGTTAGGGTACCAGTATGTGCAATTTGTATATCTCGGAATTTTGATATCGGTGACCTAAGGTCAGGTCAATTTCGCGACCTCCCCATTATAAGTCAATGGGGGAAAAATCAACTCCCTGTTTTTACCACTAAAACGGGTCGGAATGGCCCCATATACCATACATGACTTCATATACGATCAACCTTCACTACCTTGAGGTCTGTTTTGCTGTTGGGCAGCTGTGAGGTCATGTGACGTCATCAAAGGTCACCAAAGGTTTTTGGCCAATAACTCCGTACAGGAACAAGATACAGACGCGTGGATGGTCTCATTGTGTTCAGCTCGTCAAGACGCATCGAATGATATACATGATGACCTCGAGGTCACGTGACCTGAGGTCAACCTTTGACCTTGACCTTTCGAGGTCAACATATATATCATTCGATGCGGATTGACGAGAGGATCACGATGATGCCCTTAGTTTGTTCCTATCTTGACTAATTCGAAAGTTATTCGAGAAAAACTCTCTCCATATCTAGTGCCGCCATTTTGACTTTTTCGACCCCTGTGACGTCATCTTTGACCTGACCTGAAAATGACCTTGGTAAAAATTGTAGATCTTGGCCGTGCGTATCCGATGCCGTTTACCGCTTGTCGCTATCTTGCTTCGTTCTCGAGATCTCAGGGGGGGGCCGAATCGGCCCCCTCCCGCCAGTTTCTTGTCCCGGCGGAGCCCGCCAGGAATAGGGTTAAGTCGCATCGTTGACAAACTTTTATCCGTGGTCTAAATGTGTGCCCAACTAATGCAGGGGCGACCGCTTTGGGTGTCTGGCAACGGATGGATCAGGATGTTTGGCTATCGATCTGTTTAGAAAGTCCGATTGACCAATGACCATGCCAGTGAATATGCAAACATTTTATCTTTGATTACTACTATTCTAATGCCTCAGAATTGTGCTCATGCCTCAATCTAAGACGTTTTTTAAGGTTTCCGATGCATTATTATTGTATTTTTGGTGCCACATGCCATTGAGGTTAAATTGGTTATACCAAGGCTGTATAACCGTTAAAATCGTCTACCGAATAATTCACAATCAGTAACCGTCAGCGAGCTTAGAGGTGTGTCTCTGTTGCTTTTGTCCTGTCTTGTCCTGTCAGTGTCAACGCACGCTCTTTGGGCGCCAACGATTGGTGCCCTGTTCTGTTTGACCAATCGGGCCTCTGAGAAAACGCTGTCTTGAGATCGTGCGGTCTAATGAGCACGGCATATCTGGCAGAACGAAGGCACTGGCGAGCCCCTGTCTTGTCCGACAGCCGACCCCGGGCCGGTGATGTGTGATGCTGTGACCTGCCCGGCTGTGACCAGTAGGCCAGCCATTAGCCTCTGACGAGCTCCTGTCCTGTTCGGACGACCGTAGCCTCTGACGAGCTCCTGCCCTGACCGGCCGACCATTAGCCTCTGACGAGTGACGAGCTCCTGGCCTGTCCTACAGTCGACTGCTGGCCAGCCTGCCGCCGCTGCTCCGGCCGTTGTTGTGTGATACTCTGACCTGTCCGGCGGTGACCAGTGCCGTCCTGTCCTGTTCCACAGCCGACTGCGGGCCAGCCTGCCGCCGCTGCTCCGGCCGCTGACGCAGCTTCACGCCTGGTGGCACCTGCTGGCCGGCTACGCCAGCTACATGCACATACTCTTCTGGTGAGCTAACCATCTCACGGACAGACACCAGAGCATGTAGCAGTGTCACTGTGCCGTGTATTTAGTGCAGCGGTTCATTGAGCTCATGTTTTATACTTGTAGTATACTTGCTGCAACTTGCAAGTATACTTACTGATATATTTCTTTGATTACTTACTGGCTACTGCTCACTTTTTACCGGAATTATGAGCCAGTGTCACGCCAGTGTCACGATAAAGAGAGGTTAGAATGACACTGGTATCGCACGTTTAAGAGTCAGGTCAGGTTCCACGGTGCGTTCGGGGTGCCGACTGCCCCTCAACAAGCGTATCAATGGCTTGGCTTGTTAACGATTTCACGTCACGGTTTTTAAACGTTGACGACTCTCCATAGATCAGAAATCTCCATAGACCGCACATTTAAGCAAAAAGTCTCAAATTTAACGCAGTGGATTTGAGGTCTTTCAAGGTGTGACCTGTGAAGTGCTCCAATCCAGGCAGGCAATTTCGGCAGCAGCACCACTCACTAACCCTTGTTTATGATGTCGCAGCATGAAGATTTGGTACAACTTGCGACAACAGAAGGCGCACCTGACCCTGGGAAAGCTGGGTTTGACCATTCGACGGCCAGAGGTCGCCACGAACGGCTGCAAGAACGGCCACCACAAGACGCGCTAGCACAGCTACCGCCGCCTACCGGTAATCGATATAAGCTGGGCTTGTAGAATGGACCGGGTCAAAGCGCTGCCATCGCGTATGCTGCCGTTACTAGCTGCTGCCGCCGTTCCACTTGCCAATGACCGTTCTGAGATTATGGGAAAGTGCTGCAGGACATATATTCCCGAGTCGGTTTCTGTGCCTCTTCACCCAATTTTTTACACTGCTATTGTACGCAAACATACTGTTCTTTGACCTTAGCTAGGTTCATACTTTAGGTATACCTACTGTAACTCAAGCGGCCGCCAAGTCAGTAGGTAATTCATATCCTCAGGAATTAGACAACAAGGAACGGTGCATCGAGCGCCTGGCACACACAACACTGACCAGCTTCTCTCTTTATGGAACACTGTATCTACTTCCGAAATGCATCGAATTACTGCCAGTACCGAACAATGGGATGGTTTCCTTTGTTCAAGGAACCGAAGACTGTCTATCGATTAGTGAAACAGTGGAATGACATTTAACGATAGGCGAAATGGTGAACACAAATGTATGTACAGTCAAAGCGAGATGTGTGTTGAACTAAATGTTACGCGGCTAACAGCCTGTTACTGCCCCTTCGCGTTGAAGCCTTTTGGTTGGCGGGTTGGCTTGCTGATTGCTTTTGCGAATTATATGTTTCTAAGAAATGATGTGAACTGTGGATATGCTATGACAGCGGAGAACAAATTCTGTTTTGGTGAAAAAACCAATGTGTATTGCTTTTTACTCCGTACCTACTCTTTGGTCTACGTTGATGTAGGTATATTGTATAAATAATCAATATATCGACAAGTGCCTCTGCTACTCATCAGCACAAGACGGCTTTCGGCCATCAGCTTTGAACTGTTTGTACGGATATTATATTATACCTACCTACTATTTGTACCTTGCCATTGTGAACGCACTTTTGTGTACTTAGTCAAATAGCATGTAAGTGTGTGTGTGTGTGACACTGTCACTGAAATATACTTGTAATTTGTGTATGCATATGGTAACATCAAGTATGAACGGAACGCCCGAGTAAACAGGTGGTGGATACTCAATTGACGTATGAGCGTGGTAGAATCAATCACATTCTCCTCTCCATATGCACAGTGCACGTGCATGCAGGCCAGATATTAGTTAGGAGTTGGAGGAATTGTTTCCGTTAGTTTTATGCTTCCCATTGCAATGCAAACATAGTTGCCGCCTGCCGGCCGAAGGCAAAGGTTTGACTTACATAAATACGACAATCATAACCATGAGGACAGCAACCGATTGCTACCTAGTACCTACAGTACATATGTTTTTTCAATAGAAAAACACAATTCTAAAGAATAGTGTTTTAACTATTGACAACAAACCTTCGGTTATATCTCGTATTAGTATGAAGGAATAGCTGCCATTCATTAGTTTCATTTAGCTCTTGCAAATCAGCCATACTAAATAATTTACCACTGATTAATTTGCGTTTCTGGCTAAATGTACTAAAAACGACCAGCTGCGGCGAAGGCACCGCATAAGGGACTATCGCACATATAGGTGGAGATTTGGAGAAACTGCCCCGGCCAACCCGGCCGTGCGCGGGTATCGAGGCCTGCACGGCTGGCCAACGTGTTCTAAATGGTTAATCGGCTTACACGGTCAACGCGTATTCTTTTCTTTGAGTTGAAATGGTTTCGACTCGAGAGCTCGCCTCACGCCATTCATAGATTTTAATCGTCATAAGCTTTAACGTTAGAATTCACAAGAACACGAACGGCTTGGCTGGCCGTAGCTATAAATACAACGCATTATTTAGTGTCTGAATGAATTAGCGTAAGTAGCTTGAGTAAAATGAGACAATGTATTTGGGTCTCAAACACCCAGCGTGACATCACGGAACTTAGGTTTTAAACCGCGCCCCATTGGGGAGGGGGGAATAACTGCAATACCAATTAGAGTACAAGAAGAGCATGGACTTGGCCCTTTGCTGCGCAGATGAGGTAGTTGGTATGCATGAAATACAAGCTCTTAAAAGTGCACATACATTTTGTAGGCATGGAGTGGGTAGGTACATAATAACACATGTTGAGAACTAAGTGCCCATCTAGACCACCCAGCTACAAGAGCATTTCAAGGAAAATGGGATAACACTGACTCCATAAGAAAGAATGTCTGCTGATTATGGTTCTGGACAGAGCCTTCCAAAAACATAACCACAAAAATGCAATTATGTGCCATGTAGTGAGATTTATAGCTGGAAAATGACTTGCTTAACATGGAAATGCCCTGAAATCTGCCAGAAACCAGGAGTTCATAGCATCGCCATAACCGGTAAAAAGAAAAACGAGGCAACCCACCAGGCACCAGGAAGTCACGCCTTATACCGTCATCACTGCAAATGTAAATACGCAAAGCTTCACGTAGTCTTAAAAAACGAGAGAGTCACGTACCTTCAAAAAACGAGAAAGAGAGAGAGAGAGAGAGAGAGAGAGAGAGAGAGAGAGAGAGAGAGAGAGAGAGAGAGAGAGAGAGAGAGAGAGAGAGAGAGAGAGAGAGAGAGAGAGAGAGAGAGAGAGAGAGAGAGAGAGAGAGAGAGAGAGAGAGAGAGAGAGAGAGAGAGAGAGAGAGAGAGAGAGAGAGAGAGAGAGAGAGAGAGATCCCTTTATAAACAGACAAAGGTCCATAAAGACAATCAATTATGAGAGATCATAAGGCAATCAACGAAGGGGAGAAAAAGAGCGAGAGAGAAAGAAAGAGATCAGGGAATAAATGTTAAAGGTAGTGTGCCAGCTTTCCTGGACCGTATGGAGTTAATGGCCCAGATAAGGAGAACCGGATTTTTAGAACTTATCCATACCTTCAAAACTCATGGAAACGTCTTAAATTCTTCAAATTTTGAGTACCCCAGTGCGAAATTCGCCCCGACGGGTTGTCGGTCGTACCCCAACCACATTTCACACCACTATGAACAATAAATGCACACACTGAAATCGCTATTACCGATATGCTCATCCAATCAAGTTTCGATAAACCCGTTCATCATCAGCTCCTGCGGTTTCGAACACGCCTGTTAGGTGGTGCGGTAGACCACGCCCAAAGCCAGGGCCCCGGTAACGTGAGGTAGCCGAGTCAGGGCAGCGTGCGCTGACCACCCAAGCCGGAGCCGCGCGTCCTCCCGGTGTCATGTGATAGCCCGGGGCTGCCCGCGGGGATGCGGTAGACCGCGCCCAAAGCTGCGGCCCCGGCTTGGGTCAGCGCACGCTGCCCCGACTCGGCTACCTCACGTTACCGGGGCCCTGGCTTTGGGCGCGGCTTCTGCTCATACTTTGTGGTGTGGTGGTGGTGCGTCGGGCTGCGCGCTCTGACTTCGGCCAAGAAAAATGCGTCAGCTGATCATTGTCATTTCTGCCACTTGCATGTGGTGAAATGGGGTCATAACGTATAAGACGGCTTTTTCATATCAATTATTTTACATAAAATCATATTTCAAACCATAAATAATGTTCGACAGCCAAATAAAAGAAACAATACCAATACGGGCTTACAGTTTAAGGCTCGACATTGTGTTGTCTACGATTAGACAGCTGATAACTCATTCCCGTACGTCGTATGGTCGTAACACTATAATGACCTTTGCTTATTGTCACAAGTGCGCCGCATTCGCGATTGTTGCCCGACGCCTGTTTGCAGGTGAGCCCACTACAGATGTTATACATATCTAAAAACCGATAAACTTTTAGGCGAAAAAGGCACTATTCCAGGCCCATTTTTGATTTTTTTTTGCGATATTAGGTAAAAACAGAAGCTTCCTATCCTAGGAAAAATAAAATGGGAAATCTTTCAAAGGTGGCACACTACCTTTAAATGAAAGGTAAATGGCAGGATGCTTCACGAATTCATGAGCGCATCGAGTCAGTTATAATCTGGCCTGAGAAGGTCATGAAAGGTTTGTAGGGCCAAGTTATTGCAGGAAAGGATTCTGACAGAAACGTCAGCTTTGATTAGTTTGCCTTCTAGAGGACACACCGTTGATCTTAGGCCAAAGCTGAGGACGATATCCAAAAAATACAAAGAGCTATCGAACGCGCTTTTCCCCGACGCTGTTGTTCTATTCATTCCCGAGTTGTGCCCCCATTTGTCAGAAAGTGCCGAAGTGGGCGATATTCGACCTTTGACGATTTGTGGTAACCACCTGAGTAGTATTTATCGAAAGTGATTTTTCTTCGTGGTTATCGAAACCTTTTCAGCTCGCTAACTGCGTGTCGCTAACTAGATGGCCGATAAGTCGAATTAGATGGAGGAATGTTCAATCACCCATGGTGAATGTGGTGCCAAGCACCGGCCTGGCACGGGTTAATAATCCGACATCGCATTGTATGGCCAGAAGTCGAGTTTATGGTGATTACTGATTAGTGGTTATGTTCTGCGCAGTGCAGCTCACAGTCGCAGTACGGGAAAGATGAGTGATCATTTGTTTATCTCGCAGCCTGCTAGTAGGTGTTAAAGGTCACCTATGTTTAGAGTCACGACAGTGATGCTATCCGGTAGAAATATTTAATTCCGGAATACTTCGAACCCTGATAACATCTGATGATATCATCATTACGAGAATGTCATCTATAAAACAATCGAGGCGCTTCTTGAACGATTTTTGAAAGACCTTCATAAGTGCTGCTTTCCGTTGTAATAGGATGCAGGGAATGAGGAGGCGTGGCGTTTAAATGTAACTCCTTCCTCGGTACTTCGGATGGTAGGCAGTTGGCACCGCGACCACCTGCATGCAGAGGATACTGCACCGAGCTGAAGTTCACTGCATGCGGGACATTAAAGGGACCCTCCCACCTTCAAAAAAGTTTATGAATTGGCATGAAAGTGATGGCGCTCAATTAAGAAAGAGCGAAAACGAATATCTACCAAATTTCACCGAAAAATATTCACCGGTTTTCAAGATATTAGACTTTTACTGTTGTTTACTTTTTGGGACCTCCGCTGTTCCTATAGCGACTTTATTTGGAAGCAATAGTTTGGCAGCTGAAAGTGCGGCACTTGTTGCGCGCAAAGCAGCATATACCACCGCGTGCTACAAAACGTTTTAGTCAAACATTTAGAAATCGTTAGATATCTGCGCTGACGTCACACATTCAGAGGGGTATTCCTATGCATTAGCCCCTCTGAATCAAAATGCTGCAATTTTGAAATTCAATATTTCCGATTTAAGGCATTTCTCGATGTTGTGAGTGCCGAAACCGGTACCTAATTGTGAGCCAGGGACCCCATTTTGGCTATCTCAACTCAAATCTAATGTTAAGGTGGGAGGGTCCCTTTAAATGAAGATCAGAAACCTCAAACGTGAGTCTTATAATAAATGATGTATTGTAAAATAAAATCAACCCACGACGGACTTGGACGTATAGCCAAACCCATTAGGTATAAACGGCATAATGGGCTACGATCTAAATCTCTTCTAATTTGTTTTTGCAATGCATCAATGATTATGATGTTACGGCTTTGTCTTATTTGCTGTGAGTCTAAAAAGCGTTTCGGTTTGGTACAGAATTACTTCTTGGGTACGAAGATAATCAAGTAGATACTTCGTACTGAAAGTTTGTCGTGTAGGTAGATGACCGGTGCATTTGTGACAGTAAGAAATGTTTCGGGCTAGGCGTTGTTGCAGCGCGGGCAATCATTCCCAAATCATGGCGCACTGTTTCCCAGCACACCACGGCGTTGTGAGCATTGGGTAGTCCTTATTAATCGTAGCGATTTAAATCAGCATGAAGACTAGAATAGAAGCTTTGAGAATGAGAGACATTTCTCCAGTAAATTAGTTGAATTCCACACTCATGCTGTGAATTATCTAGAAATTAGCATATTGCATGCGGGGTATAATAACAGAGCACATGCTTGAACAATGCTACTTGCATGCAAGGTATTACATACACCTAATCAGCAAACCACAATGATTATGTTTAAAGTACGGCACGACACGAGTTTTGCGGCAACTTAAAATGCACGC